TTGTGTACCTCAGGGCGTGAACCGGTATGAAGATGCAGTGATACAAACAAAGGAAGACTGGAATTTAGCACAGAGATTGATAACAGTGGATAAAATTCATTGGAACATTCATAGTTTCTTTCCCTATGAGGCGGCACGACCTGACGGCATTTTCTCGGTACTATAGTGAGGTAAAGGCCTAATAGTCAGATTTCTTGCCATAATGAGAGCATGTCTAACCTTCAGATATGTTCCTAGGGAATGGAGGGAAGTGAAAGTTACGTTCATACCCAAATAGTTTAATAGTTTATTTTTAAAAAACGTTACCTCCACACTAGGATTTTCTCCTGTATCGCGGAGGTAGTTTACATACATAGATTTCACAAGGACAAACATCCAGACCCGGAACAATTATTTGTAGGCCATACAAATACTTGTTCCGTGCGTGATTCGAACCCGCGGTCCTTAGCGCTGCAATTCATTGCATAGCCACTGCGCCACGGAGCCGTCGAATAAGGTAAGAGCGACGATACGACCCAATATCCTATAGACCCATTAGCCTCACATCCTTTCTCCTAAAGACGATGAAGAGCTACACGATAATCAACACGCCTATAGCTTAGGCAAATCGACAGAATCGGCACTTCACTAGGTAATAAAAAAGATTAAAGGGGCCATCCAAAACAAAGAAATATGTCTAGGATGCTTCATAGACATAGAAGGTGCTTTTAACAGAACGAACTTCTCCAGCATAAAAGTTGCGCTAAGTAGATATAGAGTTGAACCAGCACTCATTGACGGGATAGTAAACATGCTCAGTACACGAACTATAAAGATTGCTGGTGAATCTCAAACAGTCCAAGGGTGGTGTTCTTTCGCCTCTCCTGTGGAATATGGTCATAAATGAACTAATCAGCAAATTAAATGCCAGCCACTTCTATATAATTGGTTATGCAGATGACCTGATACTCGGGAAAAACAGCAAGCATGGTGTGCGATCTGACCCAAGCGGCTCTCCGTATAGTGGAGAGTTAGTGCAAAGAATACGAATTAACCATCAATCCAAATAAAACCGTTTTAGTAATGTTCACACAAAACGAATGCTGAATAATTATCACCTGCCAAGTCTCTTCACCGTCCACGGGGTTGGTTCTGAAGGTCGAAATTTCCAGAACGAAAACGTTGAAACCAAAAACGTACCGTGCTTTCTTTTGCGACACCAGCGCCGTACACATCATTAATCCTTCGAGCTGTTTCTGCAGCGCTGGTGCCACGGTAGAACTCGTACTCGTAAATATACCGATATTTCATGTTTTCCATTGTGCGGTAATAAGCGACGCCAAAGAAAAAAATAAGTAGGAAAAAACAAATGAATGACTGTTTTCAAAACTCAAAGGTAAATGAATTTATAAATTTGAATTTGGAATTCTTAACCAAAGAGGAGATATTTCAGATCAAAGTGGTCAGTACGACAAAACGCTAATGTCATATGTAAGGACCTAATATTAAGTACATTATACTTCAATGCATTGAAATCAGTTCAACCGTTTTCAAGAAATCAGTGAACATACGCATTTATTATAGAACCTTCTTGTTTTTTGAACTTGGCAAAAAGCCAGTAGTTTAAATTTTAACGAAACAAGTAAATATAAAAAGCATAAACCTTACGGCAATCGAAGTCGAGAGCTCGGCTCGGTGCTGCGATATTTGAAAGTCGGTACACGTACTTCGACAACTATCCTCGATATGCAGGTTTCTTTATAATTTGTTTTCCTACCAAACTTGTTGTGCGTTTATACTAGAATTGCGTTCTTCGAGTTAGTTCTTGCGTCCTTGAGATATACTTTGAAGCTTCACGATATATGAAATAAAAGAGGATATCTGTCTTGATTATTATGTATTTAAATGGTTTTTGTTTATTTCGTAATAATTATGGAGTTAAATAGAAATAGAAATTTTATTTTGTATAGATTTCGCCAATTCACTGATTGCAATGTTAAAAAGAGCATATTGACATCTTATCGAATAAAGTGACAAAAACTAACCTATCCTCGAAGATGATGACCACGTTTTGAACCAATTGTTGAACTATTTCCTACTCAAGCGAACATTCCCAAGTGCGTGGAAATAGCCTCAAGTAACTCATTTACCCAAAAGCCTAATACTTCCACGTTTTCCGATTACCATTCTATCTCGATTGTTCCGTTCCTCCGTCCTTAATGTAAACAACCTCCTAAATCCCTATCAGTCCGGTTTTTACTCGAGCCATAGCACATCCACAACTCTCGTTAATAGTATACATAAGACTTGGCATGCAGGCCGGCAAGTCCTTGTTCTGGCGCGGCTAGATTTCAGCAATGCTAAAAGCGTTGTTAGCACAATGTTGATTTCAATATAATGTTGACCCTTCTATGCTCACTTAAACTATTAACACAAACATAAATGGACTGGTTTCGTAGTTAGGTACCTATTTGAATTTGAACCGTCAACGTTCTTGATTAACATTTACCTCTTGGTGTCAAATGTGTGCCAGTATATCTCTTCGTTTTGCAGTATTTACTAACTCTATCTCGAATTAAATTTTGTCTTCCTAACACCTCTATGGAGATTTGGCGAATCTATACTCAGGCTCAAATTGATTGTTTAAGTGAAGTTATTACTTGCTTAAATACTAACTTAGAGCATATTCTTGCATGGATCAAGTCTCATGGCCTGAAAGTAAAGACAAGAATAACTCAAATGCAAAATTTAAAAAACCCCCGAAAAAAAAAACTGATGACTTTGAAACGACTGAACCGATTTTGATATCTAAAACCCACCGCTAGAAAACCTGCATTTAATTTAAAATAAACTGCACTAAAATCGGTTCACCCGTTTAAGAGCTACAGTGCCACAGACCGACACACAGACAGACAGACACACATGATCAGGCAGTTATCGTAGGGACCTGAACTGGCAACGGTAAGCCAAAAGAAAATATCTTTTGCTGCAGCTGCTTCTCTGAAACGGCTGCGTAACTTCCTTCCAACTTGCACTAAAATTGTACAATCGTTGTTTCTTCCCATTCTCTACTATGCCGATTCTTCTCCTTTATAGAATCCTTTAATCCCCTCTACATTCATGCAATTAATTTAAGACAGATTTTCTGTTATTTTTAATTTTTATTTATAGTTTGTTTTATAGTATAGGGTGACAAACGAGCACACAGTCCACCTAATGATAAGTGGTTGCTGTGGCCCATAGACTTCTACATCTATCCTCGTTTGCGAATCAAAATGCAGATGCGTTGCCACCCGTGAGGACTAAGATGGAATGCCTCGTTTCTAGTAAAAAGGGTCTCCGGTTCTCTACACTCACCATACGGAAAACAGCAGTATTAAGCTGCTATTTTACGCTGGTATTCTGTGAGAGCATGCTCCTTCCCCGGTGAAGCCGACCCATTCGTGCTACAACAATAGTACTAATATAGATGCAGCATGGCTCTACCACGTATAAATGAATATAAAGTTGTATTTATTTGTAGTAGGTATTAATTTATAGATTACAATCATTTTGCCCCGCAGTGTTATCTGCTCGCGGTCCAAGTCGTAATGTCCAGACAGTCATGACACACGCATATGAAACCGCATAATACGAAGAGCTCAAACTATAATAGCACCTGGAATTTTTCTCATATTTCGGGATGTTAATGATTGCAAATTTTAAGTTCGACTAAGGTCTTTCGAATAGTAAAAAACCCCTAACAGTCTTTCAATTCTTATTATAGTACATTTATTCTCTAGTTGTATTTTTGTTTTTATTAATTATTTTTACCTTTATTGTTTAATTTGTGTCCTGAATTTATATTTGTATATGAATATTATGTTCTTCTTCGCGTAATAAGGTGGTTTGGAAGAAATCGCTCCCAGAGCGATAAGACCGCCTACTGTACCTTCTTTATTTACTTAATTCTGTTTTTGTTTGAATGTATATTGGTATACAATAAATAATATATTGATTAATTAATTGATTGAAACCTGCAATAAAATTATTTACAATTTTATAAAAGCTTTCATCCCCTATTTTCTCTTTAGAGGTGGAGAATCTAAAAATCTTTAAAGATGCGTTACTTAGGTTCTAATCGAAACCTTATAATAGTGTTATTTATAACCTTATAACATATAAAAATAAAACATGGCTTAATTTCAAACAAGCTCTCATTCTTTTTCTCCATACAAATCTGAACAGCCTCAAGCCTCATAAACACTCGATTCTTTCAAAAATTGTAAAATACTTATTCATTTACATTACTTACAGAGTATTTTCAATAAGTTTCTAGTCAATGGCTCTGTAAATAAAAAAGTTTCATACAAACTGTAACACCCCGTTTCACCCCTTTAGGGGTTGAATTTTTAAAATCATTCCTTAGTGGATATACCTATATAATAAAAAGAACCTATTGTCCCAATCTCATGCTTCTACGTGGAGTAGTTTGGGTTATCTTAATATAATATTTTTCATACCTACAAAGTTTGCACTCTCGTTTTACAACTTCGAGGGTAATTTTTTGAAAAAAAAATACCAGAGTATTTTTTTATTATTCAAATTAGAAATCCATTAATTACTTTTACTCCATACAAACTTGAACATCCCTTGGCCACCCCGATAATGGTTGTTTTGTAAACCGCAAACGCATGTTTTATATTTTACCTATTTACAGAGCACTTTCAGTAAGTTTAGATTTAATCGCCCCATAAATTAAAAGATTCATACAAATTGTAACACCCATTTCACCCTTTTAGGTGTTGAATTTTTCAAAATCATTTTTAGTGGATAGGATAGAATAGAATAGTATAGAATGACTTTTATTCAATATTAATAAATTTCAGATTTCTATGTTAACGCTTTGAGCCGTACGTTGATAGATACATTTACTTATTAAAACTCATTCTTATGTTTAATTTACCACTGCTTAGGAAAATACTCTCTGTCCTGGGAAGAACCAGCATGACTGGATCAAAATTTTTAAGAAAAGAACAGTTAAAGATATTTTTATAACATTTATTATCCAATAAAAAAATAACAGTCATGTATGTATAATATTGTACAGTTAAGTATACAAATATTAGAAATAGCTTAATTGCGCCAACCTATTTCTAATATTTGATCATCTAATTTCCAGGGGTAATTATTATCCATAAATTCCTTAATATTAAAATACTCCTTTTTATAAAATCACTGCTTAATTTTTTTTTTAATTGTTGGTGGATTAACTTTGATTATTTTCTGGGATTTTGTTGTAAAAGCATATATACATTGCCCCAAGAAATAATTATGGAGTCGAGTTAGGTACTCGTTACTCGATAACCTATATAAAATTAATAAGTTATTTAATTAGCTTAACACCACCATCATTTGTCAAGAGATTCCTTTGTTACATTAATTTATATTAAATAGTTTAACAATGATCAAGAATATTATTTTTTCCGAAGTTTTACAAAATGTTGGCGGTAGGTATAAAAATAGATCTTAAATTAGTGGGGTCTAATGAACTATTAAAATTAAATAAAGGTATGATTTTACTGTTTCATTAAATAACACCAGATATATTAGAAATAAAAATTACTGCAGCTATTTTATTTCCTTAAGTACGCTCTCATTTGTATATTTCATAAACGCAATTAACAGAAATTCCCCACAGATCTGCGGTTTTCTTAATATCAATTAAAAATTAATTAATTATTTTTTTTTTTTAATTAAAACTCCTTGGTATTAAGAAAACCGCATCCGTGGGGGAATTCTGTTAATGTTATTGCGTTTTAAAATATTTTACAATATTTAAAAGTATCCCTTTAAAATATTTTACATTTTAAAACTATTGATATTATGTACACCTGATAACACTTGTGAAATGTAAAATATTTTGTACACGTTTAAGTAAATGATTCGGCGACAGTCGTAGATACGTGGTAGAGCCATGCTGCAGCTATATTAGTAGTATAGTTGTAGCACGAATGGGTCGGCTCGACCGGGGAAGGACCACGCTCTTACAGAATACCAGCGTCAAATAGCAGCTTAACTCTGCTGTGTTTCGTATAGTGAGTGTAGAGAACCGGAGACCCTTTTTACTGGAAATGAGGCATTCCATCTTAGTTCTCACGGGTGACAACGCATCTGCATTTTGATTCGCGAACGAGGATAGATGTAGATGTCTATGGGCCGCAGCGACCACTTACCATCAGGTGGACTGTGTGCTCGTTTGTCACCCTTATCCTATAAAAAAAAATAAGAATTAAGTAATATTGTAGTTAAGATCGGAATTTAAATCATACAAATAAATTCATTTACAGTAAATTCCTAAATTGTTATTACCCTAGGTCTGGGTAAATACATATGCAGTAGCAACTTACCATCAGGTGTAACTTCAATTATTACTTCAATTCTTTTAACATAATACTTTTTTCTTAACTTCATTTTGTATAAGCTATAAAGCGTAAATCTTAAAATTAGATTTAGACTTTTTTTTTCAACATAACAGCAGCTTTTCTTCTACGCTAGTCTTAAATTTTTGAAGTAAAAATATCTTCATCTTTTTTGTTTTCCCTCGAGGTTTAATGGCCAGTTTTAGTGTTCTTCGTACCACGTCCTTCAACAAGCGGAAGACTAGGGAACAACTGAGATACCACCAGCTGTGTTCACTCGACCCAATTCCCGAGAGAGCACAGCGTGGCACCCGGTCGTTCGATAGTCCGAAGACCTCCCCCAGGATCGAAGCGTCTTGATTTGAAGATGTGATGAAGTCCGAAGAATTTTGATTGCGACTGTAGAAACAAATTTAAATAAAGAAAAAATAACAGCAAAATCCATTTCAAATATAACAAGTAAAATCAATAGAATTTCAGAAAATTACTAACATAGCTTATAAATATTTCATATAGTCTTTTTTGAACAATTTTTCAGATTCAAAACACCTTACATAACTGAATAGCCCGATAAAAACTGCACTTAAAGTTGAAGAATATTTGCATATAAGTACCTAATACAATACAAAAAAAAAACAGAACATTAAAAGATCAGAAAAAAAATCCTTATCATATTAATAGGTAATGCAATTATCTAATGACGCTAGACTGCTACGAAATATAAAAGTTTTTGCCTTTTAATACACTCCGCAGTCCACAGACCATCGAAAACGAAACAATAGAAATCACATAAAATTCACTCATTCAGTCAATCTGTAGTAATTATTTTGTTGGCAACATTTTGAAATTCTTTGGCGACAATCTCTACTCTGTGTGACTGTTTGATCATAGAATATCATGTGTTTGACAACTAACATTTGCATTAAAAACGTAAGCAATGAATGTTTTATTTTGATAGCGTGATACTCGTCCTTGTCCTAAATATTAGGACAGAATTTACACAATTTTTTTGTCTATCGGTATCATTGTTAAAATAATTGAAGAAGTTTGTATATACGACAAACAGAACTAGAACTAACGAATAAGGCGACCGATTGTTCATTTTGCGGTTTTGCCACAGCCTTTTATTAATAATACAATTATTTTTTTCTTTTTCTTTTATTAAAAATGTTTTGCATTTTAAAATAATGAAAATTTCTTTATAGAACTCAGAAACGGATGATATTTGGTTTTTGTTTTAGCACAAGTTATTTGTACTTTAATTCCATACTTTTATTATTGATTAGTTTATTTTGTACTTATAAAATAAGATGTACTGAGTTCACATTCGGTTTAGATTATTTCATCTAATGGATGGACTTACCTAGTCTCTGTTGCACTGTATTTACAGTTTTACAAGGTAAAAAACGTCGTCAAAAATCTTTTACATGTCCAAAGAGAATATAAAACACTACAGTTAAAATTGTCAAGTTTGATTAAGCCACAAAAATCAGTAATCTATACTAGAGAAGTTTACTGGACCACCTCCCCACTTAAGCAGAAAAAAGATCCAACTTCCCCTGGTCCATAATAACTAAGTAGTTAATTTTAATGAAATAACAGAATACCTTTTGTTGCATTTTATCTGAATCTAATTTACAGATATTGTATAACTCAGTTGAATATCTATTTAAAAAGAAACTAGAAATTAATAAAATAACAACCAACCAAACATAGCAACCAAATCTATTTTCGATAACATAAACATAATTTACACAGCTAAATAAAACATATAATTGAATGTAAATTTTGCAAATATTACATATTTTTAAAATATTTTCGTATAGAAAGGGCCGCCACGGCCGCCTCTCTTGACTGCTTCAACCCCCCCCCCCCCCCCCCCCCATTTGCCGCTGGATGCGCTACCGCCCCCATGGTAGTCTTCAACGACCTCTGGGGAGTCGTACTGCCCCATTGGGAATTTACGCAATAAAGCTATTATTTATTCTATGACTAAAGTAAAAAACATAATAGCAAAAAACGCATGCACTTCAGTGCCCTCTACTTTAGGTTTCACTAGCACTCCAAATTAAAACTTTATTTCTAAAGAAGACAGAGCCATCTCTATTTTCATCAAGTTAATTCTCGTGAGCGCAAAGTAAATGTTTCACTTCTTCATTTCAAATATTGTCAATAGATGGCACTGTGCGGTTAACATCAAATATATATTTTTTACAATAATTAAGAATAAAATATTACGATAAGCTTTATTATGTGATGCGTAATTATTTCGTCGTAATAGATATTTTGTTGAGATAATTTACACATCAAATATTCGAAACAATAAAATGTGTTAAACAGAAACTGAATAAGTATTTTAAATTAAAATTGATATAAAATTGGGTGTAAATTGAGTTAAAAGTTAGAGGAATACGTACCTACTTTTAATAATTTAACCAGAATCTTATCCTATGAATTCTAGCAATAGTTTACTTAAGAAAATTAGAAAAAATGAAAGTTTGAAAATATTAAATCGAACGTGTATTATATTAAATGTATAGTCGGAAGTACTTATTCTATGAAATACCTATATTCTAAGTGTGTTTAAATTTTCCAGTATGCTTGAGATATATGTATTTATAGATTAAATAGGAGCTAGAGCTGTTTTGTGTGAAAACAATACTTAAATTAAATACCTACCTGAGAAAACAATTATACTATATTGCAATGCTTAATTTTTTATTTGTCGCCTGTAACAATGCTTGTCTAAGTCGAATTTAATTTATTCAATTTAGTTTAAAGCTAAGACAAATTTGCTATATTTATTAATATTCAGGTTTGTAGGATTACGCTGTCGTACACGAAAATTTTATAATTTAATATCGGTCTGGAATATTCTCAAGAATTTTAACAGATATTGGATAGAACTTAAGAAGAATATTCCTTCATATATTGAATTTTAATTTAAAGAAAATGGAACAAAACTTTATGTAATTTTCCTAAATATAAGCATTAAGTATGTATATTAACATTGCTACCTAAGAAATGTTGATTTTGATATTGATAAAATTATTATGTGGTTCCATAAATCTATAGCTTAGCTAGAAAAATCAAAAACTACAGTTTCCTTTAAACTAAGAAAAATATCAGAGATAATCTGCATATAGGAATCCTAACTTGAAACTTTGGCATGAAACACGGTGTCGCATGCATGCCGCTGAACACCCTAGCAACAACCTAGGCGGTTCTCATGACACTCGCATACTCCAATCGCGATTAGACAATTCATCAGTGCAGAGTAAATTGCGAACGAAAGAAAACGAAACACGTACCGTTCATCATTATCAAATTCATCAACATCAGCCATCTTTTGCCCTGAGTTCGATGAAGCTGTAAGAACCACCTGGCTAACAACACAAACATCACCAACACCTAATTGACGTCTCACTGCACTAGCTTACTACTTAGCGCTACTAGCGCCAGATTAAGTCAATCAGTGGCACCCATAGCAGCAAAATTATTCTTGTATGGCAAAGCGCGCCGTCGCGTCGACGCCAATTTTCTTGAAATCTTTATTTTGTTCAACGCCGTATAACAACAAGTATTGTAGCTTTGCAATATGACAAATTATGCTTATTAATACAACAATGATATAAAAATTAAGAGAAACAAATAAAACATAACATTAAATTTAGAGATAATTATAAAAACAGCAATTTTTTGAAGTTCTAGCCACATGCAAATGCAAATGTAGATCTAGAGTCTACACCCATTTTCACAAATTATTATTTCTCAAAATATTGTACTGTATACACCTTTCGAATAAAAGTTTCTTGAACATACTTTTCGTGTCTGAATAATTTTTAATAAGTTTTTACACACCCACGCCAGTTTCTGTATTTTATACGTGGTAGAGCCACGCTGCAGCTATATTAATATGGTTGTATCACGAATGGATCGGCCCGACCGGCGAAGGACCACAAGGACAATGTTAAATCGATTTAAAAAAGGCGATTAACGATACACGAAGCAAAGTAAAAATTATCGATTAGCTATCGATATAAAAATTAAAACCGAAACATATATTTCTCTATAAACTACAATGCATGTAAAATTAAGTTAAACTTAAATACAAATTATGACAATAGTTACATAATAGCTGTGCCCGGACCTCGCCCGCTTGGTATTTATTACGATTGGATTTCATGGGTTGTAATCAAAGAGTATAATAAGTATATATAGGAAAAGAGAGCCCTCTAATGATATTTTATTGCAGACAAAATTGAACTACTAGCGTCTGCTACAAATTGAATCCGAACTAATTCGCTATATATAGCTACATTATATACATCATATTTAAACTATTACATTCTTTAATTCGTATACTTACTGAAACAGTTGCTACTTTTTTGTTTCAATAAGTACACTTGTATTTCTGAGATAATAATATATAAAAAGGGTATTTGCAATGAAACAATAATGACAATTTAGTATGACAATAAATATTTTGTATTTTATTATAATATTATGCTGGTTGCCAGGCCAGTATCATAATTATCATATATATCGATTGATTCGATAATTATTATGTATTTTTGTGTTAAAATGATAATTTGTTATTAATAACCACCAGTAATTTTTTGGTGCACTTATTTTTATTTTGTAAGTAAATTTCATTTTATTTTTCCAAAGTAGTGACATCTGTGAAGCCATAAAACCAACTATAAACAAATTTTTTTGGAAACAAGTTGTGGATGGGTCCACCATCCATTGAATTTTTGTGGTTCAAGGCAACAGTCCTACGCCTGGCTGTAATTTTTTGCGCGGAATCCTAATTATTTTTCTAAAATAGAAGTAGCCTGTGTCATTCCTTATAACATCAGCTATCTGCCAGAGCCAGCTATAAGCCGGAACAAACAGACAGACAGCCAAACATTTTAAAAATTGTTTTGGCTTTTTATTATAAATATCGTATATACTTTCATATGTATTTAGTAAAAGGCTGTTATTTTTTATTATATACAGACACTTCAAAGTATAGATTATATTATTATGTTTTAATTTGAAAATAAAAATCAGCTTCTATTTCATGTTGATTGCAACATTCATATTGACATTTAATCAAATAAAATGGCGTCCATCATCTGTAATTTTCAGTATTTACGTGATTTTTATATATTCGTTTTATTTCAAAACCGATTTTTGATAGTCTGTGGTTATTCGTTATGGCATGGTATAGTTTAGCGTGGCACATCACTATCGTAAGTGGGCGGTACCCATCCATGAAGTACAACAATATCTGTATGACAGTTTATGTAAAAAATACGAAATTTCATAGGCGTGGCCTGTCATTCGCACCATGCCACAAGGCAGACTATAAATAGTCTTAAGCTTTACTGTATGCACCCACTAAAATAAAGTAAAACAAATTCGAAAAGACGCTTACTAACGATACACTCACACAACTCTAAGCAGAAGCATTGCAAAACTGGTTGCTAAAAAAAATAAACAAAACACAAGCGTCATCCTTCACCCAAAGAATCTGACCTATATACCTACTTATAACTTTGAAACTGCCTTGGTATTTGATGGGGAACGATTTAAAATATTTGCAAAGAGACGCAAAGGGTCGAACAGAAGGGACTGGTCCCCTCCCGTCCCTCGCGCCGCACACGTGCCAACCTTGACCTTGAGACGCATACATGCACACTGGAAAGTGCACTTGTCGCAAGCGCGCGAGTCTTATCCTAAGATCAATTGTGAAAACTTTAAACTTGAGATGTTTTTATTTTTTTTTCCTTCGTAAGGGTATTTAATTAAATTATACCTATTGATTTACTTAATGGAATTTTTTTTCTGTATAACTTCTTTATAATATCATAGCTTTTTTTTTCTTTTCACCATCGGACAACCAGACGCAGACGATCCATGAGTCTCTATCTCTTTGTTGTCTACATTCCACGCATTCGAACTAAGCTGCGTCTTTCGTAATGCGTACAAGGGAGTGGGAAAAATTGCCGGCGTCTATCTTTCCGAAGCATTTCAATGTCGTTTCTGTGTCTTCAAGGCTGTAAGTTATAATAAGACAGTACATTTACACATAGGGCTTCACTACCATTAGTAATTTTTGTCTTCTCTTTTCCCATCGATATATATGTACTACGTACTAGATTGCGCATTCTGAACATACACTATGTTCAAATGAACTACATACGTACAGTGTGTCATTTAGTTTGGTTCCAATCTACTAGTTAGTCTGTGGTGGCGCAACTGCGTATGCGCGACTCTACTATCTCCCGCGCATGCGCCAAGACATAGAGTAGTGCACATTTTTTGTTTTGAATAGCTTCTCTAGTACGTAGTACATAATATAACTCAATGTCTTTTCCTCAGTTTATTTTATATTGCACGTTGCACCTATTCGTCAAAATATAAAATTACTGTGTCTGTAATGTACCTACTGTGTAAAAATATCCTTTTAGGTTCGGTTTGTCAGGTACAAATCGCTTAAAGCGATATCAGTTGTAAAAATAACTTTAAGCAAATCTTTTAAGATTGAATTTACATTAATGTATATTTATTTCAACTAGGATTACGTAAAAACAATTGGCGACAGTTTTTAGAGAACTTTTGCATGGGATTGTGTATCTTGTTTTTTATTGGTGATCGATGCTCAACCCTCATTATTTTCCGAAAGTAAAAGTAACCTAAGTTACTCCTTATAACATCAGCTATATACCAGTGAAAGTCTCGTCAAAATTGGCCCAGCCATTTTGGAGATTAAACGGAGCAAACAGACAAAAATTTAAAAAATTGTGTTTTTGTTCTAAGTACCGTATATATTTTCATAATGCATTTAGTAAAAGCTGTTATTTAGACATTACAAATAGACATTTCATTTTTATTTATTTGTATAGATATGACGCATATAGGTTGTAAATTTACTTTTTCTGCAAGGGTTTTAAGACAATAAGGAAATGACTGCTGCAATGTCATTAGCCGCGCCTAGCGCACAGGTTCGAGCGGCAGCCTCGCGAGCCAATGCCTCGGCTGATGTGGACGTGCCTCGGGCTGCCTCGGGCGTACCTTGCCTCGACCGAGCACCGCTCGACCGCGAGCCGTACCTACGTTGTCGGCAAACTTGACGCGCTCAAAGGTGCCTCAATAGCCGCGTACTGACCAAGCGTGCGTATAGTTTGTCCGAGACCACCATGAGGCCGCACATTCGGAAAGCTATCGCTACCATAAGGCTTGCAAAAAAAAAGAAAACAGAAAACTAAACGTTTTTGGATTATACAAAAAAAGATTACAGGCTGTGAACAGATTGTTTGAAGAGTTGTGCTTCGATGACGAAAAAAAAATTTCACTCGAATGAGTAAAATCGAATTTGACAATGTGTATTCTCTCATAAACGCCAAAATAAGCAAGAAGGAAACAAATTTTCGAGAAGCAATATCCGCTAGGGAAAGATTATTAGTGACGTTGAGATTTTTGACTACAGGAGATTCTTATACCAGTCTACAGTATCTATTTCGTATATCAAAACAAAGGATATCGGTTATAGTTCCTGAAGTCTGTGATGCTATAATTGAGGTGTTAAAGGATTATGTTAACGTAAAATAAAATTACATATTTTTATTATTTTTTTATTAATCAATTTAGAAAATTGGACAAATAATATAAGAAAATTAAACAAAGAAATATTTAATGATGAGGATCTGGAGAAGGAGGAGGGGGAGGCATTGGTGAGGCAGCAGGCATCGGTGAGGTAGGAGACATGGGCGAGGCAAGAGGCATAGGTGAAGTAGGAGGCATCAATGAGGCAGGAGACATTGATGAGGCAGGAGGCATCAATGAGGCAGGAGGCATCGATGAGGCAGGAGGCATCGATGAGGCAGGAGGCATCAGTGAGGTAGGAGGCATCAGTGAGGTAGGAGGCATCAGTGAGGCAGGAGGCATGGGCGAGGCAAGAGGCATCGGTGAAGTAGGAGGCATCAATGAGGCAGGAGGCATCGATGAGGTAGGAGGCATCAGTGAGGTAGGAGGCATGGGCGAGGCAAGAGGCATCGGTGAAGTAGAAGGCATTGGTGAGGCAGCAGGCATCGAATATGTAGATGGCGTCGATGAGGAAGAATAATAACCATAACCACTGTATGTTTCCATGTCTGCATCAAAGATAATTTTATTTATTGCATATATTACGGATGCTAATGTAATTTTATCATATTTTCTCAACTCATTTCCTATATATTGGCCATACACATTATAGGGATCATTTTTCCGATATATTATCGCTTGAACATTGTTGTAAGTGTTAATGCTTCAGATATGGCGTTATCAGTAAGATCATCACTTTCGTTCATTTTGGATCTCTTTTTAGGTCTAGTTAACTTTTGTTTATGTTCTTCCGTTATCGTCGAGTTTGAAGTTTCATTTCTTTCTTCGTTATGACCATCATCATTTCGAGTATTATCCAGACTTGCATTCTGTAAAGATAGAAATTATTACTTAATTTTATTTACAGATAACATCATCCGAAGAAGAGTGGCTTACCATAGCGAAAGAGTTTGAGAGCAAATGGAATTTGGGAGCAATGGATGGGAAGCATGTTATATTACAGTCGCCGATAAATAGTGGCAATGGTTATGACTGTTACAAAATGTTTCCAAGTATAGTGCTGTTTGCTTTAGTTGACGCTAACTATAAATTTCTGTACGTAGACGTTGGCAGCAAGGGACGTATATCAGATGGCGGTGTATTTAAAAACACCAATTTATATAAAATGGTCGAAAAGAAGGAATTGAACATTCCTCCGCCAGAAATATTACAAATACCGTATAAAATTGCAGTGCACTATTTTATTCTAGGCGATAAAGCTTTTGCTCTCAATGATTACACATTGAAACCTTATGAAGGTACTCCAGAAAGAGGTTCAATGGAAAGGATTTTCAATTACAGGCTGTCCAGAGCAAGAAGAGTTGTGGAGAATGCCTTTGGCATTTTAAGCTCCGTTTTTAGAGTACTGAAGAAGCCGCTACTATTAGAACCAGAAAAAGCTACGAAAGTCGTATTGACTACCATATGCTTATATAACTACTTGCGTAGAGATCAAGATTCCTCACAAAGGTTCACTCCCCCAGGATCATTCGTTGCCGAAGTCGAAGGGACAGTAATACCCGGCCGATGGCGACAGGATACAGAAATCTCATCAATGCTATTCAAGCCATACCACGGCGAGGATCAACAAATATAAAAGAAATACGTTCACATTTAGGGAGACATTTCATAACAAACGGAGCAATTTCTTGGCAGAATAATTATCAGTAAATAATAGGTACTCACTTCTTCACCTAAAGTATCTTGTGTATTTCCTGGGTGATTTCTGTCTCCCAGAAAACTGAAGGCTTCATAGGCATACCAATTCGAAACATATATTTCACCACGACCTGCAGTATAAAATAAAAAAAGTATTAGAAATTATATGAAAACCGGTGTAACTTTGGATATAATAAAATGAATGTTGTTAACCCTAATCATAAACATTAAATAATAAATACCTGATCCTGTGATTCGGCTTTTTTTCTCTCTCGACATTTCCCTCCTGTAAGAACCTAGTAAAGAGTCCATTTTTTTTCTTTAATTCAGCTATTGGAAGGTTCATTTCCTGGCTTATTTAGTCCTCATTTTTGTAATCTGGACATTGCGCATCCCAAAGTCGTCTATATTCACCATATAAAAAAAAGTGTCTTAAATTAATACAACTATTTGTATTAATTTAAGACACTGTTCTTTATCCATGACGCACAACTAACACGCAACGAATAAGCGAGGTAAAATACTACCGTCTTGAGTGAGCGCGGCAAACGTACTGAGGCGCCTTTGAGCATCGACAAAAACCGACAACGCTCGGCTCGGGCCGCGGCACGCTCGGGCGAGGCAGCGCGTGCGTTTGCCTCGGGCGAGGCACGTCTTGACCGAACGAGGATTCGCCTCGCGAGGCAGCCTCGCGAGGCTGCTCGCTCAATCAGTACGCGGCTATTGATCGCTGTTTGTTTGGTGTGTACGGTGGTATTTTGGATCGCGAGGTATAGTGTTTGTTTTAGTTTTACTGAAAAGTCATTTTAATAATATAATATCATGAGCAATCAGGATGAGTCGATTTGTTTAATTCAACTGTACGGTACGTACAAGATGCTGTGGTATCCAAAAGGCTGTTTTCGTTTTTTTAAACAATAAGCAACTAGGAAAGTAGCTGCAGCTTCAATTACACAACTGTCCATTTCAGATGCTCGAGGACTTATGATGGCTCGGTCTGCCTCGCAAGGCATGCCTCGAGTTCCGGACAATACTACTGAGGCAGCATTCCGAGGATGCCGCGCGAGCCTGTGCGATAGGTGGGTACTCAGCTATTGGGTGTTGGCGCACTTCATGTCTTTGAAATATATTTTAAAATTTCTCAGGCATGCAAGTTTCCTCAAGATGTTTTCCTTCAACTTCGAACACTTTTGTAACCATTTTCTGTACCCTCGCGTACAGTGAAATTTACGAGCTCGTAATATGCCAAGTGGCAGCCTCGTAACGGTAGGCGAAGTGTAGGGCGACCCCCACTAGATGGAGTGACGACCTGGTAAGACATGCAGGAAGTCGATGGATGCAGAAGGTTCAGGGCCGTGCTTTCTGGCATTCCTTGGGGGAGGCCTATGTTCAGCAGTGGACTTGTGAAGGGCTCAAAAGTACTATGAGACTTCTGATATTTTAATCGATGTAATGCCAAGGTTGCGATTATTATGGAAAACCACTACTTTGGTAGAGGTTCAGTAAGTTGTAAGGTATCGTTATTAGATAGATTATTAGATACATTATTATTTTTTCTATAATCTGTTGAATTTTTCCGCCTATACCAGCCAGTAGGTACATGAACTATATTGATTTCAATAATAGTTGGGTTTTATTTATTTGGCTTATTTAATTTTTAACTTCTACGCTTATACTTATGACAAAGAATAAATCTTCTGGAACGTACATAAGTGGAAAATTAAAATTACGTGATATGCGCTATCGTCCCAACAATCAGTAGCTAACTTGTACAATCGTGATGTTAATTTTAATATGAAGTTAACTCACATTTTGTTGTTGTCCAATCGGCGATCTAGACAGCGCGTGCCTGCGAAAAAAAATAAGCAAGTGTATTTCTTATCATTTTGTAGACATATTGTAAAACTTACTTGAATACTTAACTATTGTGTGAATTGTATATGGATTCCAGTTGAAACGAATTTTTGCTTTGAACAAAAAATGAATTATTGGTTTTCTCGTTCAGAGATAGTTACTAACGCAAGTCCCGTGATTTCTTTGAATTTGACAGATGTAAGCCAGGTTACTTCATTCTAATCATGAAATCCGTCTATACAGTCTCTAGTTGTTAGTAAAATACCTAATTTGTATGCAGGTGGCTTAGGATCATGCTTTGTGGCATTCTTTGGGGGAGGCCTATGTTCAACAGTGGACTTGTGAGGGGATGTAATGATGATGATGAAAATACCCAGAAAGGCAACAGGCAGCAGCATCAAAGGTGCGAATCGCCTGGCACTGGAATCATCAATACGCTTGTCAAGCGTGATGCGTCGAGTGAGCCTTATCTCTCTGACAGTGTAAAACGTGGGTCCGTTTTACACTAAAGAAAGAAGGTAAAGAACTAATATTCGCCAAAAATATAACATCATTAATATTGTCACTGGTATACGAAAATAAAATATGAAACCCAAGAACAATAAAATAAAAATAAGTATCTAGAAAATAAAAAATAAAATCTTTATTAATTGGATGATCGCGGAAAATCTCCTGTTATGTAACCTACCTATTACACTCTAGCGATTTGGGAAATAATGTTATTTTTATTCTTAAACACTAAATACGATGAAGAGGCAGTGTGTATCTAGGTAGAGGTAGAGATTTCTTAATTTTATTTTAATAATAGACACAAACGTAAATTAAAAATGAAGGTAAAACAGATGAATAAGTTTACACTTTACACCTTCGAAAATGACACTATAAACATTTAGTTCTAACTCGCTCGGAAGCATAATAGGTGAAGGTGACGTGAGACGTAAATTACACATGACTACATACTTATAAACTTAGAATAGCTCAAACACTGGTGTGCAAATGTTTGAGAGCATAAGTCCTTGAAACGAGCCCTCGCAGAATGACTCACCGCGTCGGTGACGCGCGACGTTTTCATTTTTTTAATAGTGTAATTGGTAATATTCAGAATCAAAAACATGTTAGTAACCGATATTGTAACATTAAAAATAGAATTCAATTAACCATTACATCATTTTGAACAAATTTCAAAAGTTATTCTTTAGAAATAATATTTTTAATTGATTTTATTTAATAATATGGGGTGACAAACGAGCAACCATTTTGTTATATTGTCGCGCCTGAAGACTAAGACGCAATGTTTTATAGGTTTGAAGTAAAAGTAAAGTTGCAGCCTATTTACGTCACACTGCTGGGCACAGGCTTCCTCTCATTTCTGAGAGGGTTTTAGGTCAAGGAAATGTCCGCCGCGCTGCCCCAATGCGTGTTGGCGAACTTCACATGTCTCTTCTTATTTCTCAGATATGCAGGTTTTCTCACGATGTTTTCCTTCATCGCCGAGCACGTGGTAAATCAGCACTTAAAATTGCAATTAACAATTTCATTGGTGCGGGCGGGGATCGAACTCGGGTTGCTCGAGTATTGTTTTTTTTTTATAGGATAAGGTGACAAACGAGCACACAGTCCACCTGATGGCTTTTATTTGAAAGGCCTCCAACCAATATAAAAGCTGAACTGGATTCTACTCTGAGTGAGTGCTCCTTCTTCGTTATTAAACGATGCCATAGTAAAAGTATTTCGGCTTCACAGCCTGCCGTAGAAATTCATAACTTTATTAGCAATTCCTCTAATGACACAAATGTTTCCCTTTTTTCGGAGCAAATTTACAATTATTATCGTAATGTACCAGTGGTTAAAAGAATTCCTAGAGGTGCGAGGATGCAGCTTGCTAAAGCATTGTCATGCACTATTCAAAATTGTTTCGCTAATAGTGAAAATAGTTGGCAAAAATTATTTACTTTCGCGTATTCTCATTTTCATTTTGATAAAACAATAAATAAATCAATTACGTCTCAACTAAAAGAGACATCTTTTCAAAATTTAGATTACTCAATTAATACTCATTTATCTCGACCACGTCCTAAATTTGATTTAAAAAAAGTAGTTGAGTCGAAAGTAATGGATGGCGACTTAAAAAATGCATCCCGTATTTTATTCTCAGACGACATCCTGGCTCCTCGTAATGTCGAAACTCTTGAAAGCCTTCGTCAAAAGCATCCTTCGGTCAAACCGTCTCAGGGTTTACCGCTGCCTCCCAAGACATCTATGCAACCTTTACAAATTTCGGAAAAAGACACTTTAGAAGCAATTATGTCATTTTCGAATGGCTCTGCTGGCGGCATTGACGGAATTACGCCTCAACATCTTAAAGATCTTGTAAGCGCTTCTGCCGGTGACGCCGGCGGAGTACTTCTTAAAGACATTACAAAATTATGTAACTTTATGCTTTCTGGTAATGTTAATCCAAATTTCATTCCATTCTTATATGGGGCAAGATTATGTGCCTTCAAAAAAAAGGATAACGGTATCCGTCCTATTGCCGTTGGTTCCACATTTCGACGCTTAACTTCAAAATTAGCTTGCAGGTACATAATCTCTAACCTTAAGACCAAATTTCAGCCTACTCAACTAGGCTTTGGCACTAGAGGTGGCTGTGAGGCGGCGGTACATTCAGTGCGTACATTTTTAACAAACTCTGATGCAGATGTTCTTGTGAAGGTTGACCTAAGGAATGCTTTTAACTCTATCGATAGGGTAACCTTGCTGAAAGAAGTGGCTAACAATACCCCCGAAATTTATCATTACGTTTGGCAATGTTATAGTCAAAATACTAACTTGTTTTACGAAAACCATGTTATCGATTCTGCTGTTGGTGTTCAGCAGGGTGACCCTCTGGGTCCAGCACTTTTCAGTTTGGGAATTCAACCCATTATTTCAAATTTGAAATCCAAGCTGAATGTCTGGTACCTAGACGACGGTACACTGGGAGGTAGAGCAGATGACGTCCTCAGCGATCTTACTCATATTTTTCGAAATTTTAAAAATATTGGCCTTGAACCAAATAGCAATAAATGTGAAATATTTTTTTCCAATAATTTATCTACTTCTCATAGAGACACTTTAATTCAAAATTTTAATCATATTTGTCCAGGAATAAAAACTGTCAATACGGAATCACTTTACCTGCTAGGTGCCCCGTTGTTTTTCGATAGTATTAAACCTGTTTTAAAAACAAAATTTGATCAGTTTTTAAACCACGTTGATAAATTGTATAAATTAAACCCCCACATAGCTCTTACTATTTTAAAATATTGTCTTCTTGTACCTAGATTTACATACTTACTCCGCTCGAGTCCAGTCTGGAAATGTTCGGATATTTTACAAGATATTGATAATAATCTTAAAATTGCTATAGAAAAAATTCTAAATTTAACTTTAAATACAACAGCCTGGACTCAAGCTACTTTACCTATAAAATTTGGTGGCATTGGTGTGAGAAATCTTTCTAGCGTTGCATTGCCTGCTTTCCTTGCTTCCGTGCATAGTGTCAGTGACTTATGTAACATAATTTTAAATAATAAAGTAGACCTATGCTTTGCTACGGAGGCAGGGCAGACATGGCAAACGCTCTGTCCTGGTGAAAATATTCCACTGGAAGTTAACCAACAAAAACAGTGGGATATTCAGTTGGTACAGGGCGTGCAGAAGGATTTGTTTCACAATTTCCATAGTGACCAAGATAAGGCACGCCTTCTAGCTGTTTCGACTAAGGAATCTAGTCACTGGTTACACGCTTTACCATCAAGTAATCTCGGCACATTACTTGATAGGGAAAGCTTGCGTATTGCCGTAGGAATCCGACTAGGAGCAGCGATTTGTCAACCCCATCAATGCCCCTGTGGTAACAGCGTCGACAAGTTTGGGCTCCACGGACTTTCATGTAAGAAAAGCGCTGGTAGGTTTTCACGACACAGTTCTTTGAACGATGTCATCCGAAGGGCTCTTACCTCTATAAATGTTCCCTCGGTTTTAGAGCCTTGTGGAATATTTAGAGACGATGGCAAGAGACCCGACGGTATGACATTGGTCCCTTGGGAGAGAGGTAAAGCCCTAGTGTGGGATGCTACTTGCGTAGACACTCTGGCGGCCTCTCATCTCAGGGGTACCTCGTTTAAAGCCGGGGCGGCATCAGAGGCAGCTGAACTGAGTAAGTGGCGCAAATATGAGTCTCTGAGAGATGACTACATATTTGTGCCATTTGCTGTAGAGACTATCGGTCCGTGGGGTTCACGTGCGGTGAAGTTCCTAAAGGAACTCCATCCGCGGCTGGTCGTTGCTGCTGGTGATAAGAGGGCTGGTTCTTTCCTCGCTCAAAGGCTAAGTATAGCCATTCAGCGGGGAAACGCAGCCAGCGTTCTTGGCACGATGCCGCGGGGAGTAGGACTATATGATAATTAAGTTTCTAGTTTTAGTTTTTCTTTTTTATTATCGTAGTTTTTAGACATTAAAATATTGGGTAGCAGAGTTTAAACGACGTCTATCTAAACAACTACAAAATTAAAAACTGTGATTGCCAAACCAATTATGAGGGCTCCTCTCACTGGGAGGCCTATGTTCAGCAGTTGAATTTTAATGGGTTTCTACCTGTGAATGCCTTAGGAGTAAAGAGGCACATAAAAGATAATAATCAAATAAGACTGCAGATATATATATATGTGATAAAGCTTGATTGGAGAAGGACTAAAAATTATAAGCGTTTAATAACAGCATTATTCTGCAGCGTTATGTATGATACGAGTATGATGAGAACCAGAATCCTGTTTTTACTAATATCGTAGCGTTGTATCTTAGTGCTCAGAGGTGACAACTTGTCTGCATTTTCATTCTGACTCAATGATATATGACGGTGTATATGCCCACAATATTCTCTTAACATCAAGTGCATATTGTCAACATTGTATCCACTACAGTCTATAAAAGTCCACTGCTGAACATAGGTCT